TTTTTTTAACACCAAACCGAGACTAAAAACGAACCGAGCTCGAGTTAATTCTATGAGAAATAATTGAATGTAGCTGGCAAAACTTTAAAAAAGAAAAGTTACATTAAAAAAATCATCAGGCATACAAGATATATTGTTCCTTCTGACAGTCACTTGAACTAATGATATTTTAATCGCGCTATGACCTCTAAGATCATCTTAATCAGAAAAATATTGGTTTCTCTACGCCACGTCTTATTACGACTTTTTTTGGAATTATTCAAATGTTCTTTAGAAGAGATATTCGGCTGTTAAGAGTTAATATCAACACAAAAAACTACTAGTTTTTATGTATTAATATTAAAAATTCATTTACTTCACAAATGTATGAATTAGTGATAAGTCATGCAAATATTAACTCTAATATGACACCTCTGATCGTTCGAGAAACAAATTTTGATCTATAGTCTATTTTTGATCACATGGAACTAATGCTATCTATATCTGGTGGTTAAGTAGTTAATCAATATATTATGCTTTCATTTCAAACAAATGAAAGTTCTTTCAAATGTAAATATTTGTGTCAATGAAAAGGAAACGTCTGTAATTGACTTTCTATAACTAAAAACAAAAGAAACATTAAATACATTGAACGATATATATCTTTTGTATTTTTTTATAGTGTCCAATTCGTCAAAAATAAATACTATTCAACAACAAATTCCTACTATTTATTTTTCAACACAAAAGGTAAAACAAAAAAGAAAATTTTTCTTTATTATGTAATAAGATCATTATTATTATTCTATTAGTTACATCAATATTCTTCACATACAGAATTAACAATACAAAATATCACAACAACAATGACAACATTTAATAATTTACAACAACATATAAATTGCTGTGATTCATTAAATTATCAAATTAATCATACAGTAAATTGTTGAGAAATTTATTTTTTTATTTGTTCGTGTTTTATAATGAAATATAATGTCTAACAAAGACATAAACTTGCCTATAAAATGAAAAAATAATAAAATCTGACATTGGCACTTAAAAGTAGAATTAATTTCATATCCTCTTCTCTTTCTAGTTATAAAGAAAAGTTAGAATTATTATATTTATTATATCAATTAGTTGTTTTTTCTATAATTTATAGACTACAATTCCTCTTCATACTTCTTCATTATTACAACAACAGCGATATTCTTGTCGATCGTCGACAAACATGCTTGCTTCATCAACCGTAAATCCTCTTTCAAGTCATTATTATTCGTTATCATATTCTAATTCTTCTCAACCAACAACAACAACAACAACAACAACAACAACTCTTCTTCCTTCATTAGTACCATCATCAACAAATGGATGTTTTCGATTTCCAAATGATAATAATAATGCTAATATGAACAAAGTCAATATTTCGAAAAAAAAAACTTTACCAATTAATGTAAAAAAATGGTCAATTCTTCAAGTTGGACTATTCATTGAAAAATTAATGAATACTATCATTGCTAAAGTCTTTTGTGAACATGAAATCGATGGTAGAGCATTACTATTATTAAAAAAAAAACATCTATGTCGTAAAATGAAAATTAAATTAGGTGCAGCACTGGTCATATTAGATGAAATAAGTAAATTACGTAAACATAATGGACAATTTTTTTCTTAATTTAATTATTTTTTTTTTCATGCTGTATAAAATATTTTTTGTATTTCTTACATTTGTTGTGTTATATTTTTGCACAAATACAAAAATATAAAAGATAAAACAAAAACATTAATTTTTTTATAATAAGATCAAAACATCTAAAAAAACTTGAGAAGCTCATTTGCTTAATTATTGAATATATCTTCCTGGAAATAAATAGTGGTATAAGTCGATATTTTGAGTATATCATCACTAGAAATGTATATTTTTAAAAGAATAATATCATATTCTGAAAGCACTTGGAGTTCTCTATCATTCTGTATATATATATGTTTCAGTTTGCACTAATATAAGAGAAAATAAATCAACTATAGTGAAAGCACCATTATGACCAGATTCTCATAGACTGAATTTTGTAACTATCATCATAATTACTTTTTGAAGTTTTCTTATAACTATTGAAAGAGCTTTTTCCAAAAGTAATTATATATTCTGATAGCGCTTGAAATCCTCTATTTGTCTATGTATTTGTCCACTGTTTTATATTTGTCTATTGGAAAAATAATTTGAGTACAATCAAGACACTCTCAATCGGCAAGTACGAAAATTCGCTACCTTTTATACTTTTTCAGATTGTAGGCATTAGAAAAATAAGCTTTTATGAAAGTCATCATACATTCTGATAGAGCTTCAAATTCTCTATCATTTTGTATATCTTCGTCCTATCTTGCATTTGTGTGCTATAGTTGTCTGCCTGATAAGTACGCACTGGCATTTTTCTTCACGAGAATACATTCGATACTACATACAAGTTGCAAGGGCATTCTTATGTTCGTACTTTTTCTTATATTTTAATTGAGTTTTAATCTTTTATATTCTATTGTATTCTATGCTACTTTATATTATTGATTCAATTTCTTTTCTTGTGATTATTTCGTTTGAGACATTTTATTACAAGTAAAGTGTTTTTTTGTTGAAGAAAAATGTTTTCAAAATTTTCTCGTTTACAATACAAATTTTTATACTTAAATTTCGTTCTTTTTCGAAAGTAGACTGAATTAAGATGTCGAGTAATATCTATGACAAGATATAGTTTAAACATTCTTGTACTATTTTAGAAAAAAACTAAATTTTTATTATCTTATCCGAGATCATGGATAACACTTTTCAATCGTGTTTAAGAAAGAAATAAAGATATAACACCATTATTGAAAAATTTTTTAATTATTCAAAATAATCCCTATGATGATGAATTAAACCCGAATGGAATAGGTAACTGTGGTGTTGCAGAAAATTTTTTATGTGAAAATGAATTAATTTCAAAACTTCAATCTATTCAAATATGGAAATCAAATCATATGTATTATCCATATCCATCAGGACAAAAATCATTATGGCAAGATTTATGTAATTTCTTTCAAAGAATTTTCCAACTTCATTATGACCTTGATCAAGACCGAATGCTGATTTCAAGTGGTTTAACTGGTATTATATCATTATTAGCTTATCTTATAGGTAATATTGATGATGTTTTCCTCATTGCATCACCTTATTATACTGCATTTGATCATGATATAGCAGCTTTCTCAAATTATGCTATATTTCGATGCCCATTACTTGAGCAAGATATTAGGCAATGCGTTAAGAACGTCCAGATATAGCTCGTATTTTTTGTTCCTTCACCTTTGTTGAGTTTCATTTACCCACTGCGCCTCGTGGATGAAAATTAAAAAAAAAAAAAAGAAACTTTCGGGAAAGAGCTTGCTTGCTCAATCATATCAAAACTCACCATAACTTAATGCCCACGTTATTCGACACTCATCTATAAGGTACTTTGTGCAAATTTCACTGCCATAAGTCATAGAACAACCTTGGACAAGTTTCTAACAGTCACTGATCTCAGATCATACGTCTAATAGCATGTTAACTGCATTGTGGCATACATCTGGTCTTTTGATTAGTTAGTGTATATACTGCTGTATCTAATACTAAAATGAAAACTTTTTCCTGACAAATCGAAATTCTTCAAAACTTCCTAACCGTCAAAATAAAATGAATCATAACATAGCCACATATCTTCTATTTGTTTTGATTGTATTGGTTTTTTTTCTCAATCAAAACAGCTGGACTTAAATTTTATAGGAGAAATTAGAACTAAATCACAATAGACGTAAGACATAATAAAAGTGCATAGTTTGTTACAAATGTACTTAAACAAAACACACCTATATAATACTATTCAATGGAACCGAAATGAATGAAATAAGAGAGCAGTTTTCTTCTTCTAAGATAATAATATTATTATTTTGTTTTGTTTTACCTTTATCGAACTTTTGTCACAATAGGAATAGTCTAAAACAAAAGACCACAATTCATAAAGAACTAGACAGAATGATTATGACCAAAATTTCACCACACCAATTACCAAGTCTAGACATGCTTTCGGAATAGTGTCAGGTGGAAAATTTTTATTTTTAGTTGAAATTTTTAAGCATGATTCTTAACAAGCAATAAATAAAGATCTTCGACCACGTGAAACTATTATTGTTAATCCAAATAATCCTATTGGAGATATTTATGATGAACAAACTATTCAACCGATTTTACAATTTGCAGCTGAAAAAAATCAACATGTTATTATAGATGAAATTTGTGCATTAAGTATATTTGAAAATGAAAAACCATTTCAATCAATATTAACTCATATATCAATCATTGATTCAAAAACGTACACATTTTGTTTGGTCATTAAATAAAGATTTTGCATTAAGTGGTTTACGTGTTGATGTTCTTTATGCTGGTTCAAATGAATTATGTTCATCAGGTGCAGCAGCTAATTTTATTCAACTACCATCTATTCTAGTTCAAGAAATAACAGCTACACTTCTATCTGACCAACAATGGATTGATTCATATATAAAACTAAATCGTTCATGTTTGACTCAACAATATGCAAAAGTTAAAAAGACACTAGAAGATATAGATAGTCGTATTTATATTCGACCAGCTAAAGCAGGATTTTTTATATGGGTTGATTTTCGTTCACTATTACATGAAGTTACCTATGAAGAAGAGGTTCGTCTATTTCAAGTTATATTTGAACATGGTGTTTATTTGGTATCAGGATCTTTTCTTGGTTGTGTACAATCAGGATGGTTTCGTATAATATTTTCTGTAAAAGAAGAATGAATCGATGAAATAGTAAAACGACTCAAATTAAGATTAGATGCTTATCGAAATTCAACAATTCTCTCTAATGGATCCAATTGAAATGTTTGTGTGCGCGTAACTTTTTTCTATTTTGAAAAACCAACAATTGATATGATCTTAGATGGAAAACAAAATCCCACTAGATTTTTTTAAAACTTATTAGGGTGATTGGTCTATATTCTGATTTCTTTTTCTTATCATCTATTGTGTGATACAAATTAAGAGAAAGATCATTTGATAACTATAAATATATTCGTTGAAGTTAATAATTTGTGAATAGAGAATGGATAAACTTGTCCAAATAGACGATGTAATCATTTTAAAAATATATATCGAAAAATGTTGTTTTTTATTCTTTGACCATAATTTATTCGCAAGTATTATCCCAGTTAGTTTGAAAACTGTACATGAATTTGTAGGTAAACAAACAATTTATTAAATAATGGTCAAAGTTATATGATAATGTGAAAAAATTGGTAAATTATCATCTAAAGATGATTCAAATCACTTCAAAATTCAAAATGAATTATTTACATATTTTTCTTATAAAAAAGCTTATCTTGCTCGAACATAAATCAAGTCATTGCTATCGAAAGTAAATAAAAATAATGCTTTGCAAAAACTTTTCATATTAGATTGCATATATTATGATTCGAAATCAGATAATATTCTTGTCCACATAAAGTGCTACCATTTTTTATAATATTCTGAGTACGTGAGTACTTGTGCACGACAATAAACCTTGACTGCAAGTACTAAAATATCACCAAGAATATTAATACTTTCTAGTCATCAGTTACTCTTGTTCAGAATGGCATTTTAATTATTACAATTATTCGTATTGAATTCATTAACCTATTTTATCTTTTAATTTGTCACTATTTTGAACAAGATAAATTTCTACATCGAAAATTTATTTTCTTCAATCAAAATGCTAAGGATAATAACTTGTAATAATCTGTCGCATAAGAAAAGTTAAAACAATCGAAAGATTATTGACACCCAAAACAAGATGATATTGTCTTTTATTCTATGATTGATTATTATTAATAGAATCAATAAAAACCTTGCCTTGAATCAATATAATAGACAATTGAAAAACAAATATTCAATTCAAGTTGAAACATTATCATTAGATCATCTTACAAAAAATAACTTTAAAATTTCAATTTAATAATTCAAATTTTACCTCACATCATAAAATTGCAACGAATATTAGAAGTTTTATTTTGATCTGCAGATTCTTCGAAGTTTATTCATCATCAGATTCAGACAATGTTTGTTTGTATATGAGATGTGGGAGACATCGAATGTTTTGTTTTAAATTGTATATTTTCATAGTTTATGTTAAACATGATCATATCTTAATCGAATTTTGTTTTCTTCTCTCCTTTCCAGATTGCTCAATCATTGATTAGTTTTGTTCATCATTACGAAAAATAACCAATTATTAACAATGAATGATATTCATCATCGTTTACATTAAAAAAGAAAAAGAAAAGAAATGAAATAATCCATATTTAATGATTGACAATTTGTCATTTTCTCTAGATTCAAACTGAAAACAATGTTTGATCAGTCAACATCTTCTACATATCTATCTCTAAATGAAAAAATTATTCAATTCCAACAACAAACAAGGTATATGTCTATACAAAGTTTCATTAATTATAATGATTTTTACTGTAGATGTTATTCTAATACTAAACGACCAACAAAAAAATGTGCATTTGATATTAATTCACTTTTAAAACCAACACCTATGAATTCAAGTTATATTGATGATACTGAAGATGGTTCAAGTGATGATGGTCATGTACAGTTAGAGTCGTCATCTTCATTTTGTAATTCACCTAAATTATATCATCTTATGGACTTATTAATCAACTTAAAACAAATGAAAATTTAAGATTATCATCATCATTTGAATCTAAACAATCAATAGTTGAAAATTTAAATCCAAAAATAAAATCAAAACGTATTCGAACAATATTTACCACAGAACAACTTGACCGACTTGAAATAGAATTTCAAAAACAACAATATATGGTTGGTAATGAACGTTTATATTTAGTACAACTACTTAATTTAAGTGAAGCACAAGTTAAAGTAGTGTTAATTTTTTTCTGTTGACATATTTTACTATCAATTAAAAGTTGTTTGTTGGCTTTTTTATTAAGATTTAGTTTCAAAATCGTCGTATTAAATGGCGTCGTCAAGTACTTGATAATCATCAACAATGAATTGCATTATATAATTGAATAAAATTTGCAAATAAAACTCTTTTCTTTTTGTTTCTATTGACTTTTTTTTCATGTGTTAAACTAATAAATTGTTTTTTTCCATATCCTATAAATGTGCATCGTTTTTTCGATATTGTTTACCTGCTGATGGAATCAGTCAATTCACACATTATTGTCAGTAAATAAATTCGCATGTTTATGTGTGAGTATTCTCATCAAATGAGAAGGAAAGTGAGAGAAACGATCATTGTTATTATTATTATTTCTAAACTTGTGACACCTTCGATGATTCTTTCAAACAAAAATAGGTTAATGTTACTAACATTTTAGAAATTTATATACTAAATAAAACTATAGAATAGAGATTGATCGTTTCTTAGTAAGATATACGAACTAAAATCATTAGATCAATAATGAAGAAAAGCTTTATTCGTGGATTCGATCTTTGATATTTTGAACTGCGAAAAATTTAAAAGAAAAATCCATTTTATTAAATAGTCTTTGTTTGTTGTTTTGGTAAAAGTTCTGTTGATTTCAATCATTGATATTGATGAATAGTACTTAGTAACTAAAGTTTCATAAAAGTTTCTATAATTTTAAGAAAGGCTCAAAATTCATTTTTTTCTGTTATTTTTTATGGAAACATTATTTTTTTGATTTCTGCAAGATTGATGTATCATGATCAAAAATTTTCGATTTTTCCTGAGATCCTATCCTTGGATAACTATCAATTAGTTGCATTTTCGCAAAAATAATGCTCTATATCAATTACTATTTGGATTCTTATCATCGGTTACGAATGTAGGAAAAAATTGAAAAGCAAACTAGGTGAATCATTTTTGGAAGTTACTGTATATGGAAGAGATTCAACTAAAATGAAACTATATATAAAAGTATCTATATATATAATGTTCAGTGTGTGTGTGTGTGTCTGTCTGTCTGTGTGTCTGCGCCGGGTCAAAGGTCAAAGGTCAAGGATCAAAGGTCACAAAAGGCTATAAGGGGAGATCTCCAGGGCCTATTTATGGGGACTTATAGGTCCCCAAGGGCTATCCTATGGGGGACTCATAGATCCCCAAGGGCTATTATGTGGGGATACCCATAGGTCCTCAAGGGTCATCCTAGGGGGTACCCATAGGTCCTCAAGGGTCATCCTAGGGGGTACCCATAGGTCGTCAAGGGCTATCCTATGGGGATACTCATAGGTCCTCAAGGCCCATCCTATGGCGGTACCCATAGGTCCTCAAGGGCCATCCTATGGGGGTACCCATAGGTCCCCAAGGACTATTATGTGGGGGCACCTGTAGGTCCCCAAGGGATATCCTAGGGGG